GAGTTTATGAAATTGAGAATGTGGTTCCATGCATGAACTTGAGCTTGCAGCAACTCACTATATTGCTGTCCATGATTGGCTAGATCCATCTTTACCTATGCTTAATATCTAAGTAGTGATCTTTTCAAATGGGCTGTACCATATATAGACAGGACAATAGGAGGGATCGAATGCATTTTTCTAATATAATAAAGCAAAAAAATGAAGAGGATTGAATTAATGATAAGTTGCAACTATGTCTAGTCAATCCACAAGATTCATGTTGAAGGAATAAATTACATGAAAGCCTTGTGATTAAGAAGCCCTAAACCAATACAAAGCTTACATTATGCTTAAATAATCTTATATTATAAAACATCCTAAATAACTTTAGCGAAATATACAGTGCTCATTGAAATAATGAATTGGGATAGTTTAAGGGACTCAAAATGAACTTCACGAGTAATCAAAGTATTAATTCTAGCTTTGGCTAGGAATGGCCAATAGGAAGATGTGACTCCACATTAGGTGTTATTTCAACTTTAGTAGAGTGGTTGGAAGTTTCAAGTGTGAATGGCCAATAGGAAGATCGATGTAACTTCAAATTCGAGCTTTGGTAGGTAGAACAATAAGAATGGCCAATAGGAAGATGTGACTCCACATTAAGAACAACGTAATTTTAAGCTAATCTGCTTCACATTTTGATATGAATATATGTATTAGTTTTGTTAATGCTAAGGTGTACCTATGATATATTGAATTAGGAAATTGATTAGTTATTATTCAATTCAACACAATTTCTAATACTTACTGATTTAGTTATTAAAATCTATAATTTTTAGTTTTTTTACCTTTAATTTAAATTAAAAAATAATAATTTATTAATAAATATATTATGAAGTGTATTGAATTGAAAAGTATATCAATTATTATCTATCAATCTATATTGAGTAATGTTTTAGACTTATTGTTATAAATTTTTATTTAAATTAATGTAATATATTCAAACTTAATTCATCCCTATTTACAAGGCATGGTTATAATCACACAATTAATTATTAAAGTTATATAACTTTAAAATTTTTTCTTTTAAAATATTGATTTTATTTGATTTAGCAATTAAAAATAATTAACAACTATAATTCTTAATTGATTAATAATAAAATAACTAATATTCATTATATACTTGATATATTAAAATCAATATACAAACTAATATTTTCATATATCATGACTAACTATTTAATAAATATAATAAAAGGACAAAGTAGACAAATTTAAGAGTTGTCGTTGTTTGATTGGTTCAAAAAACTATGTCGGCAAGTATGGCAGTGATACACTAGAATTTCACGTCGTCGGAGAGCCTAACCTTTATCTCTCTTTTTTTCTCCACTCTAATCCAACATGTCTTCCGTGTGGAATGAGCAATGAAATTTTCTTTTGCATTTATAAATGCATTTTTCCTGAGGAAAGATTTAGGTGGATTAATTAGGAAACC